TGCCATACAGTCTTTTGAGAGAGGCAGACCTTCAGGAATCCCACGGTCACAGAATCTAACGTTATCTTCAGGACTGCAAGCATCAATAAAGCCTGAGTGTTAAACTGAAAAGAACCACGCTCGTATTCAAAATGAGGTCCAGAACACCACACAATTATGACCACAGAGACTAGGATTTCAAAGACACACTTTCTTGCAAGAGAACAAGCTGGGATTTTAAAAATACAATCATAATGTACAGTAGAATATGCAGCTATAAGATAAGCCTTAAACTAAGGCCTTCTTCTCACAATTTCTGCACTGTTAGGAAGTATTTTGGCTGGGAACGTGATTTTTTGTTGCAAATCAATTAATTTTTTTGCAACCCTCACTGTGAAGAGAGCTGTATGTCACCTTTGTATCGATACTGGTATAACATATTCCCACAGGGAAAAAGGAATAAAAGAGTACCTTTATATTGATACAGCATTTTCCTCTAGTGTAGAAGGAAATACAGCTTTCATTATTCAGTCAAGTTAAAGCAGTACATTTTTTTCTACTTTATAGACAAGGCCTATGTTTAACCAGCACCAAAAAACTTCAGGGCATTTGGAGGATCAAAATGCTCAGTTCTACTTTTTTTACTGTCCTCAGCAAATCATAGAGAATGTTGAACATCTAAATACATTCATAACTGATCAGACCTTTGCCATGGTTTTTTAAATCCTTCACTTTTTAACAAACACACCTTTTTGGCAAGAAGTAGAGCATATCTACAAAAAAAAAAAAACCAGCATAATCCTCAGTCCTTATTAAGCTGCCTTCAGCTGTTCTGCTAGGCTAAGGAAAACTGTACTTTATGTTCCACTTTGTGTGCTACATACATACATTTTTACATCATTCCTCCAATCATAAGATAGGCAATAGGAAAACAGGAGACACTCCAAAACATTAAGAATCTGCTATTCTGTTGGAAAACTAGAATACCTGCTTCCCCCCCCCCCCAGTTGAAAAAATTGCTTTCAGTACACTGAAACATATAATTCCATTAAATTTAAGGCAAAATTGGACCACAGAAATAGCTGAGATATAATTTGTGGCATTCTCTTTTAAACCGCAATGCAAGATATGCCCGCAATAAACTTTCTTAGTTTTCCATGTAATATTTTTGTTAGAAGAAGCACCTAATACTAGTAAACATTATTCACCTGGCCTTCTAACAAGGAAGTCCTCAAGGAGCAGGTTTCCTAATTCATTTAAAAAAAAAAATTTCTCAAAGCTAAGTTACAATGGGATTTTCAGCTTTACCTTAAAAATAGGAGGAAGGGTGGGGGCTAGATAAATTCATCTGCTGTATAAAGGCCCCAAACAGAAGTTCAGGGAACCGCTCAATACAGGGGTCTTCTCCAGCCTTCTGTAAGTTTGTTTTTAACTGTGATCGTGACAGTCTGACAAAACACTTCCTCGCTGTTCTGAAGGATACATGTGAGCTCAGAAGAGATATGTCAAATATTTACACATACAATCTTTTCCAAATTTTCAGTAGATACTGGATGTTGCTAATATAAGTATCCAATTCTCAACTATAATACAAGATTATCATTTTAACTTCAATCATCATGATTTCAATAACTAGTATTAAACTAATACCAAACAACATTCTTCCAACGCTGAAGTGGAAAGCTTTCCTACTTAAAATAGAGGAAATGGTCAGATTTATGGTAGGAATCATGGCACTTAGCTTCAAGTGGCTTGATCAAAAACGCCTTTACAGACAATTGCTAAATGTTTGACTTCTTGTAGCAAGGTAATTTCATTTCTTCCTGGCACGGGAAAAAACTGCATTTTCTGTCTGTTAATGTTTAAAGAAAGAGTTAAGAGAGGAAGATGATGGAGGTAAACACAACTCCCCTAGACCTTCCAAACCACAGAAGGTACATGCCTTCTCCCACCCCAACTCCTCTCCATGCCACGAAAGATATGGTAGTCTCGATGCAGTTTTAAGGAGTTATAATGCAACAAAATTAAAAACTTAAATTTTATAAATAGTTGACCTTCAGAATTTCATTCCAGTAAACCATGTTGTTCCCAGTAAGAAAAAAAGGCCCTAATCTTACAAAAGCTTCTGCAGTAAAGCCACGCCATCTTCCTAAAGTTGCCTAGTGAATACAGCGTTCCACTCAGTTGCTGCATTACATAGGACCAGGACCTACATACAGATGAGAAATTGTATTAGAAATTGCTAATTATTAGGGGTTTTCTTGGTTGTTAAAGCGCTGTCCTTACCTAATTCAAGCCCCATCCTCTCACCCTTTTTATTCCTATTAAGGGATAAATGAGGTTCAACAGCGTCTGCAAAAGTTTAAGAGCTTCATGTAACACATAAAAGCGCACAAAGTTGTTTTCTAAAAAAACAGTATTTGTATTAAAATTCTTAAAACGGATAGACATCTCTTAAATGCACGTCTGGAATTAAAACGACAGTTGTTAGAATTTTCTCGTTACATCATGACGTTAAGATTTCTCTCTTTGCTGGCTGGAGGTACATCCCACGACAAAACCCAAACAAAAAATAAAAATAATAATATTAATAAAACACCCATCCCCCCCCAAATCCCCAAAGGCTAAATTCTTGTAAATTTGAAGTAAACGAAGCCCGAACTTGCGAGACATGGAAATTACAGTTAAAAGGCTCAGATGGAAATAAGAAATAAATTCCACCGACAATAGGCCCTTTTGTCCCGGCTTGTTCAGTACGATTACCGAAAGGAAACTGTTAAGTAGTTTTTGGAGTAGCAGATAATGGGATTCTGTGGCGCTTTCACAGGTTGGCACCGGCTGGGACAGCTGAGGTTTGAAGGCACTCTACGGACACAGGGCTGCGCGGGGCCCCGCGCCACTCTGAGGAAGTCTTTGCACTTTAGAGAGCTAGTCATCAAAATCAGTTATTGCCAACCGAAAATGAAGGAGGAAAAAAAAAATTAAAATAACCTAAGGACAAGGACACCACCGCTCCCGCCCACCCGGTTAAAATAAAAACGAAATCACGCACACACACGCACACCTAAAAAATTGTTCAGATTTGTATTATTTTCACAGCTGATTTAAAAAAAAAAAAAAAAACCACCAACCAACCAACCGAACAGAAGTTAACACGCTACCACTCTCCGGCAAACTCCCATCTGATACAGCAGGTAAACCAAAATAGAAAGTTATTTCACAAATAATCAGCAGACACGTTCTGGCACCCCACACGCTGCACTGGCATCAGTGCTGTTCAAGTCCCAGTCCAGATGTGCAACTCATCCCGCTCGGGTACCCCGCAATTTTAATCCAACTTTGCATAGGAATCGGCGGCGGGGGCGCAGCCTCCCCTCAGCGCC